CGTTATCCTGGTGCCAAAGAAAATTCATGCAGCATGCCTCAATGACTCTATAATTGAGGTGCTTCCAGAGGTTAGTCATGGCTTACATCAATTCTAGCCTCCCAGCCTGCCTTGATCCCTTGCAATTTGCCTACTGTCGTGACAGTTCCACGGCAGGCGCCGTCTCCTTGCCCTTCACGCATCCCTGGAACATCTGGAAAACAAGGACTACAGCTCTGCCTTCAACACCATAATTCCAACCAAACTAAGCTCCAAACTTTGAGACCTAAGTCTCTGCTCTGCCCTCTGCAACTGGATCCTTGACTTTCTGACCCACAGACTGCAATCGGTCAGAGTAGGCAGCAACGCCTCCACAATAATCTTCAACACCGGCACCCCGCAAGGGTGCATACTTAGCCCCCTATACACTCATGACTGTGTGGCCAAATTTTGTCCTAACTCCATCTACAAGTTCACCGACAACATCACCATGACGAGATAGGCATGCAGGAAAGAGTAGCATGGTGTAAAGATAACAATCTCTCCCACAAAGTCAGCAAAATGAAAGAGCTGGTCATCGACTTCAGGAAGCAAGGTAGAGGGCACACCCCTGTCCACAATAATGGTGCCAAGGTGGAGTTAGTTGAGAGCATCAAGTTTCTAGGAGTGATGATCGTCCACAATCTGTCCACAACGTGAGTCCACCCACGTTGATGCTACGGTCAAGAAAGCACAACAATGCCTCTACTTCCTCAGGAGGCTAAGGAAATTTGGCATGTCTGTAAAGACACTTACCAATTTTTAGAGATGCATCTAGATTGAATGCTTTCTATGATGCATCATGGCTTGGTGTGGCAAGGGCCCAGGGCCTTAAGAAACTACAGAGAGTTGTGAACATTATCTAGTCTATCATGCAAGCCAACCTTTCATCCATTGACTCCATCTATAATTCTCGCTACCTCGGGAATGCAGCCAAAATAATCAAAGAACTCTTCCAATCTCTTTCAAGAGACCGAAGATACAAAAGCTTAAACACGTAACCAATGGATTCAAGAACAGCTGCTTCCTTGCTGTCATCAGACTTCTGAAAGAACGTTCAAATTTTAAATTTAAATGTGTCGCTCTTTGTGCACCTTCTCTGCAGCAGTAACATTGCATTCTTTGCTCTGCTGTGTTACCCTAATGAACTTTGAATGGTATGGTCTGCCTGTGCTGCGCACAAAACAAAACTTCGCTGTACCTAGGTATATGTGACAATAATAAATCAAAGCAAAATAATATACAGAGAGGTCTAAGTAGAGTGGATGTGGAGAAGATGTCTCCATTGGTAGAGAGACTAGGATCTAAGGGCGTAGCCTCAGAGTGAATGGATAACCATTTAGAACTGAGCTGAAGAATTCCTTCAGCCAAAGGTTGGTGAATCTGTAAAACTCATTGCCACAGAAGTCTGTGGAGGCCAAGTCATTGAGTGTAATTAAGACAGGTTCTTGATTGGTAAGGGAATCAAAGGTTACAGGGAGAAGGCAAGAAAATGGGGCTGAGAAGCATATCAACCGTGATCGAGTTAACTCCGCCATTAGGTTGGTTGTGGTGCCTAATTCTGCACCTGCATCTTGTAGTTTTTTGGACACTGATCAACGACGTATTTCGCAGTCAGGAAGGTGAGTAACCTGGAGATAACGTGATGGTGTTCCCACGTGTCTGCTGCCATTGCCCTTCTAAATAGTAGTGGTTGTGGATTTGAAGGGCATTGCTAAGGAACCTTGATGACTTTCTGCACTGCATCTTAAAGAATTACATAATTCCCCTTGCTGTGTGTCGCTGGTGGAGGAAGTGAATGTTTGTTTGTGGCTGTGGTGCCTATCAGACAGGCTGCTTTATTCTGGATAGTTCAAACTTCTTGAATGTCATTTGAAGCTGCAATCATCTAGACCAGCATGGTGAGTTCCATTACACTCCTAAGACCATAAGAATTAGGAGTAGAATTAGGCCATTTAGCCCATAGTTTGCTCTGCCATTCGAACATGGCTGATATATATTTCTCAATGCCATACTCCTATCTTCTCCCTTTAACCTTTTGATCCCCTTACTAATCAAAAACTTATCTATCTCTGTCTTAGATATGTTCAATGACTTTTGGCCTCCGCAGATTAACCACCATCTGGCTGAAGAAATTCCTCCTCATCTCGGTTCTAAAGGGTTGTCCCTTTACTCTGAGGCTGCACCCTTGGATCCTAGTCTCTCCTACTAGTGGAGACATCTCCACATACTTTATTTAGACCTCTCAGAATTTTGAAAGTTTCAATGACCTCCTGTCTCATCATTCTAAATTCCATCGAGTATAGACCCAGAGTCCTCAGCAGTTCATCCCTGCTGTTGTATTCTGATTTCTGCCTTGTAGATGGTGGACTCTGGGGAGTCAGGAGGTGGGTTACTTGCTGCAAGATTCCTAGCTTCTGACCTGCTCTTGTAGCCACAGTATTAATATGGCTGGTGCATATCAGTTCTCAGTCAATAGTAGTTATTATATTGATAATGGGGGATTAAGTGATGGTAATGCCATTGAATGGTAGTTGGAGTATCTCTTTTGTTGGAGATGGTCATTGCCTAGGAGTTGTATGGTATGCATGTTTCTTGCCACTTGTCAGCCCAGGTCTGGATGTTGTCCTGGTCTTTATGCATCTGGACATGGACTGAGTATCTGAGGAAGACCCTGAAGGGGCCCTGATGCTAACTTTTAAATCTCTGCCACAGAGGTGGTGCCAGTGTGGTTCCACTTTATAAGAAGGGTGGTAGAGAAAGAACAGGGAACTATAAATCAGTGAGTCTAATATCAGTGGTAGGGAAACTATTGGAGAAAATAGTGTAGGGGGAATTTAATCTCCATTTAGAGAGGCAAGGTGTAATGAGGGATAGTCTGCATGGCTCTGTCAAAGGGAGGTCATGCCGAACAAACCTGGTGGAATTTTTCAAGGAGGTGACCAAGTGTTTGGATGAGGGTATATGTTACAGGTTGTATGATTTCAGCAAGACCTTTGAAAAGGTCTCACGTGAGAAACTGATAAAGAACGTAAAGGGCCATGGGAGCCAGAGTAACTTGGCAAGATGGATCTAAGATCAGTTCAGTTACAGGAGCTGGTGGTAGAAGACTGTTTGTGTGACTGGAGACTGATGAGCAGTGGCATATGTTAGGGATCACAGGCTGGGTCACTTGTTTGCAGTATTCATAAACGATGAATATATGGGAGAGATAAGTATGTTTGCAGATGACAAAGATTGGCTGTGTTGTGGACAGGAGGAAGGTGTGAGGTTTCTGGAGGATACAAACAGATTTGTCAAATGAGCAGATCAACTGCAGATGGTATTTAACCCTAATAAATGAGGTGATGTTCCTTCTCTCAAAGTGCAAGACCAGGAATACTCAATGTAAGGAAGGAAACACAATACCTCTGAGGTTAGTTGAGGTGGGAAACTTCATAACCTTTTGAAATTCTTTCATAGAATCCCTGCAGTGTGGAAACAGCCCCTTCGGCCCAACAAGTCCACATTGACCCTCAGAGCATCCCGTCCAGACCCATCCCCTATAATCCATCTAATCTACATAACCATGGCCAATCCACCTAGCTTGCTCATCTTTGGACCATAGGAGGAAACCGGAGCACCTAGAAGAAACCCACGCAGACACTGGGAGAATGTGCAAACTCCACGCAGACAGTTGACCAAGGGTGGAATTGAACCTGGGTCTCTAGTGCTGTGAGGCAGCAGTGCTAACCACTAAGCCACTGTGAAACGTACTTGGATGAACACTTGAAATGCTATAATATTCAAGGCTATGGACCTAGTGTGGGAAAATGAGACTAGTGAAGGTAGTAGCATATTTTTGGCAGTTCAAACTTGATGGGCTGAAGGGCCTCTTTTTACTGTATGATTCTGAGTTGAAATGGCCCTGAAGATTGTGAATAATCCCCTCTTCTGACCTTTTCATGGACTTTAGGTCATTCATGAAGCAGCTGAAGATGGTTGGGCCCAGACCACTACCCAAAGGAATTCTGGTCGTGGTTACTGACCTACAGCAACAACACCATTTTCCTCTGTGCTAAATGAGTCCATTCAGTAGAGTGTTCTCCCTCCAATTCACATTTACTCTGACTCTAGTTTTGCTAGGGCTCATTGATACCACACTTGGTCAAATATAGCCTTGACGTCAAAGCCAGTACACTCTCCCCATCTGGACTTCAGCTCTCTTGTCCATTTCTGGACCAAGGTTTTTTTTTAATATATATTGGTTCATTTGTAAACTGCAGCAGATTCGTTTTCAGAATAGAGCAATGAAATCAAATCTTTTGTGCCCATGTGAAGCAAATTGAGCCTTGGTTTAATGTCACATCTATTGATAGTATCTTTTGGAGTAAGGTACTGCTCGGCTTTGAGGAAAGTCTGCCTAAATTTTTACGTAAAATCTTTGGATTGGGACTTGAAGCTACAATCTTCTGAGTTAAAGTTGAGTGCTCCCAACTGCACCATGTCTGGTACTGCAGAGATATTGTGACAGGTGATAAAACTTAGTTACAGAAATTGTTTTTAAGGATTGTGTTCCTGCGGGTAGAGAACTGGAGAAATTTGGAGACAAAATTCCAGAGCTTAGGATGGTGGTAGCTGAAGTTGCAGTAATCAATGACAAAAATTCACCTACAAGATGGAGGAGTACAGAGATCTAAGGTTGTAGTGCCAGAGAAAATCAGAGATCAGGAGAAGAGGAACCACTTATTGATTTCCATAATTTAAATTGCGTAATTTGGCTTATAGTTTTGTTTGCACACTTCATTACATTGCTGATAGAAAATACAAATGCAAATGATTTTGAAACTGAGCAATATTTTAGTGTTGGTTCATGTTCCCATGGCTTTGAAAATGTATTGATCAGTCCTAAAATACTTAAAATGCATTCAACTCATATTTTTTTGGTGAATAAAAATATATTTTTTCCAATCACAGTTAACCCAGATTGTCTTTTCCAATAGGTTCACATTTGGAAGTACAGTGAAGCAAACGCTTAGTTGGAAAGTATTGCCTTGACTGCAGTACAGGATGGTTTACTGACCAAGACTTTATTCATTTACTAAACTTGTACATATGCCTGGAGTGTTGGAGTTCCTGGGGACTGCCTTTTTACTCATTTGGAAAATTTGACCCATTATCATTTGCTACAACTGTGGACAGTCTAAATGATGACCTCTCAAAGCCATTCAGGTAAGCCTTTTCAATATCTATCTTGTGTTGTGTGAAGTGTATGCCAAGATTAAATGATGGATTTGAAGTGTTACCAAAGCTGCATGAAGCAGTCGCCTCTCTGTCTCTGTCTCTGTCTCTGTCTCTGTCTCTGTCCCTCTCCTGCTTTCCCAACCCCCTCCCAAACCCCCAAATCCTGCTTCTGATTAATTTCCAGTGATTCCTGTAGGGAGTACATGGCTATTCTGTGACCTCAGATTTGAATTTGGTTATGATATATTTGTTACCGGGTCAAACATGAATTGCCACTTGGATAATGTACTTTTTGGGCTTTTGGCACTTCTGGAGGCTTAACCAGATCTTGATGCCATGCTATCCAAGAGGAGGGGAGGAAATTGTCGTAGTAAATTCTGCACGGTACAATGCTACTTTCTAAAGTTTGACGTATACGTGGAAAAAATGCTATATCAGACCAGTTTCTGTAATATGCTGCATGTTTCTAAACAAATCTTAACTTCTGTAAGTAACAACTGGAATCTAGATTGCATTTAATGAAGTATTATGGTTACTAGGCATATACGGTACAATTTGTCATGCCAAATATTGCTTAGTAAATATCATGATAACTAGTGTCTTAATTGTCCTTGCAGTAGTTGGCAAGATTTCTTGTCTCCCTAGGTAATATCTGAACTCCCAACATCTCTGACTGCTAAAAATACACTACATACAGATTCCAAAAGTGATCTTAAAGTAGTTGAAAGCTTGATTTTGAAGAAAGGTGAAAAAACTTGTGTGTTTTTTTTAATTATACAACTATTTGGATGCCAAAGCTCCCCTTGCCTTGTTTCATAGTATGTGCACTCCTTGATCAAGTTTCAATGTCTCTTTTCTGTTGAGTGGAATATTTTATGTAATTTAACAAGTGGTCTAGAGATAAAATAGTTTTGTGGGAAGACCATGGAGGAAACTTGTATCTTCTTTCTAGACTTTTGGTTGACACCTACATAATTGAGCGTGAAGGTATGCGTTGGATCTGAGGTTACTTTTGATCTTATGTGTATGTCGTCAGTGCTTATGCGAAAACTTGGAATGTTTGCAGCTTGCCTTGTCCATACCAAAACCTCATACGTTTAATTTTGGGACATTGTTGCATTGTACAGCTAGTGCGCAGATCAACAGGAGGCTGGAAGAACACAGCAAGCCAGGCAGCATCTGGAGAAAAGGAAAAGTCAACATTTCGCGTATTACCCTTCTTCAGGACTGGATGTGGGGGTAGTGGGAGCTGCAGTTAAAGTGAGGGGGAGGGTAGCGGAATAGTGGTGAGAGGTAGACACCGCTGGTAGGTATGACCTGGTTGGTCACTGGGAGGGATGAATCTGGTTGGTAACTGGAAGTTAGGGCAATTTGGTGTGTTATTGCTGGAAAAATGTTGGTGCATTAATAAGCACTTTATTGCTTATAAGGAAGCCCGGAAGTCGAGGGGATTAAGAGGCGCTTGCAAATTGAAATAGAAATCGTGTTCCATCGAAGCATAGAAATTAGAAGTTGGAGTAGACCAGTCTGTTCTTTGAGCCTGCTTCTTCATTCAGTATGATTATGGCTGATCATCCAAGTCAGTACCCTGTTCCTGCTTTCTCCCTTAAACCATTGATTCCGTTAGCCTTAAGAACTATATCTAAATCTTTCTTATAGGCATTCACTGATTTGGCTTTAACCACTTTCTGTGGCAGAGAATTCCGCAGGCTCATCACTCTCTCTAGGTGAAGAAATTTCTCCTTTGTTCAGTCCTAAATGGCTTACCACATATTCTTAGCTGTGACCCTCTGATTCTGGAGTCCCCAGTCATTAGCAACATCTGTCCTGCACTTATCCTATCTAACCCTGATGGAATTTTATAGGTTTGTGTGAGATCGCCTCCCAGCCCTTCATTCTTTAAAACTCCAGAGAATATAGCCCTGATCAATCCAGGTTAAAAACTGAAAGAACTACAGATGCTGTAAACCAAAACCAAAAACAAAATCGGAATTTGTTTTGACAAAGGGTCACTGGACCCAAACGTTAATTCCAATTTCTCTTCACAGATGCTGCCACACCTGCTGAGCTTTTCCAGCAATTTCTGTTTTTGTTTCTGATCAATCTAATCTCTGTTCATATGTCAGTCCTGCCACCCACTCTTAACTTGTGGGTATTTTTTTTTTAAAGACTTGCTTGGTTTGCACATTGTTTGTTAAACACGCCTCAGAATGTTAAGGCTGGAACTTAGCACTTCTTGCTTTCAATATTATTTAATCAACTTGTTAACACATCTCTGTGGCAGTTGGCACTTGGGACCAGGATCTTCTGGCTCAGAGATAGGGACATGATCACTGCATCACAACAGCCTGCACCATAAGTACCCCTTGAATGAATTAACTAAGTTTCAATTTGTTGTGGGAGTTTGAATCTATGATCCCTGGGCCTATGGATAGCGATAGTCAGTTCAGTGACATTACCACGATGCTACTGTCTACCTTTGTTAGTGCAATCAATTAACTTGCGGTTCAGAAAGGGATAAATGTTGATCAGTTTGGATTGTGCAATCTTGTTCCTTCTTGCAGTCAATGGTTGGAGATTTTAATAATATCATTTTTAAAAAAAATTTGTTCTGTTGCCTCTCTACTGCCTTTCGGCACAATCATTTTCCACTTTATTTTTCTTTCTTGACTTGGTTTGACTTTATTTTACCTTCCTCTCCGACATTCTTGTTTCTTTCCCACTTCTAAAATCTCATTTGGTTAAGGAAGTGCATTGGTTCCAGAATGCACTTAAGTCTTGTTCACTCAGCTCCTAGTGGTTCCTTTTACTCTTCAGTTACCAGCTAGTTAACGGTACAAAAATATTCAGAGCTGAATGGTTTAGGAGAGAGTAGCAAATAACGTGCACCAAACTGTTCCATTTCTCAGCAAGGTATGATGAAGGTGGGTGAAAATGCATAAATTCCCCCTCAAATTACAATAAACTTTTTTCAGTGGTGACCAGAGGTTACATTTTTGTTGGATATTTGTTTCCAGTAGTTGAGCATAATTTGAGGGTTTGAAGAGTTGTCAAGATTAATCAATTAGTACTTTTTACTTTTGAAACCTATTGCTACTGTTCAGACGAATGGGGGGGGCATCTCTTAGAGACTTGTAAAATTCTAACGGGACTGGACAGGGTAGATGCAGGGAGGATGTTCCCGATGGTGGGTGTGTCCAGAACCAGGGGTCACAGTATAAGGATTCAGGGTAGACAATTTAGGCAGGTGATGAGGAGACGTTTCTTCACCCAAAGAGTGGTGAGCCTGTGGTATTCATTACTACAGGAAGTAGTTGATGCCAAAACATCGAATGTATTCAAGAGGTGACTAGATATAGCACTGGGGGTGAATGGGATCAAAGGTTATGGGGAGAAAGCAGGATTATGCTATTGAGTTGGATGATCAGCCATGATTGTGAAGAATGGTGGAGCAGGCTCAACGGGCTGAATGGCCTCGTGTTGCACCTATCTTCAATGTTTCTAAACCTGAATTCTCTAACTTGATGATTTTATATGAAATGTAAGTATTCAAAAGTACAGCTAGTTAATTTGATCAGAGACTAACAACAAACTAATAACAGGCTATTGCTTGAAAATAAATACATGTCACATGATAATAGAGGAAATTGATAAAAGTGGGGCCTGGCTATTGTCCCAAGAGAGTCTGGGTTTGAATTCTACTTCCAGGATTACATAACTATCTTCCTGTCAGCAGGTTTCTTGAAGTGGTATTGATGGCACTTGTGGTTAAGTCCTTGGTTTCCTGTTGGTTTCATTGCCTGACTGAAGGGGGCCAGCAGTGGCCACCTTCAAGAGAGAAAAGAACAGTGAGAAACACACAAACACTTGTTTTTGTGATGATGCAAACTTTCTTACAAACTAAAGATGCCAGTTACAAAGATATTAATTACTTGAGATAAATCAATGAATTGCAATGATTTCTGAAGAATATCCCAGACCCCATTTTGTTTTAGCATTTCATGTAACCATGCATTTCTTCTTGGCCTGAGGTTGCCGTGCCACTTGCACGTTACCAACATTGAGCACCAATAGCCTCGTCATTATTTTGAAACAAATCTGGCCCCCTGCAGGTTTTGAAAGATGCCTTTTATTTCACAATTTCACCATTTGACTAAACAAAGGCTAATGGAATTTTATAATTCTGTTGTATTTTAGATTATTCAATTGATTAAATTTTCTGTGTCTCCCTGTTATTGTGATTTGTGGTTGCATGGTGAACTATGAAGGACAAATGCCATGTTACTGTTTCAACATTTTAAAGTTGTTGGATGACTCATTTAGCTCGCTTTTGGCATTTAATTTTTTTCAATTTGTAACGGATAGTTAATTTGCATATGGATTGTATGTCTTGGTTTTGAAGTGGCAATCTTTCAAATCATGTTGATATTCAGGACCAAGCTGAATTTTAAGATATCTCCATATCTGAACAATGTAACTAGAAGTTTAGATCTATAGATTTCACGAGAGCTTTATTTTATGTATAAATTCAGATAATTCCAACATATTCCTTTAACTTGTATTATAATGCACGTGCTGTGGGTTACACGAAAGCTTGGGGAAGTTGCTGCCTAAGGCCTTTTGGCTATAGTACACCGAGGGGGCTGGAAACTAGGATGGGTATGACTCTGACATTGTGAATTATGATTATTGAAATTGTATTGAGGCACCTTGGAGTGGAGCATGATGTATGGAGAAATGTTACAACTGTCGTATTTTATGTAATTTCCTATTTGAAATTTTTATGCCCTAGGGCTGTATACCTGAAGTGGAATGTACTTTGTAAATGTTAAGACCATTACAGGCATGTTAAGTGAAACATACTGTAAGTGGACAAGTTAAATTTCACTGCAAATTTTGTAATGTTAAGGTTGAAATGTTTTTTGTCTATTTTCTTATAAATGTCATGCAGTATTTTGGGTAAAGTAATACTTCTAATTTCTTCAGTG